ACCTGATCACCCGCTCTCTCTTTCGGTTCTCCGACCTCACGACCTCTATCTGGGCCTCTCGTATGGTATCCAACACCGGAGTCATTACTGTCATCCTCATACAAATGTCTAGTATCGGGGCACTCTCCGCCCTCTGGCTCAGGGCATCGGCTACAACATTAGCCTTGCCCGGATGGTACAGGATCTCACAATCATAGTTCTTTACCACATCCAACCATCTCCTCTGGCGCATATACAGGTTGGGCTGATCCATCAGGTACTTCAAACTCTTGTGGTCCGTGTATATGATACACCGGACCTAAAAACCCAAAGGAGAAGTGGTCAAGGAGATGAATAAACTATTCAAGAGGCTTTGCATTTTTTTTCGCGAGGATACGAGAAAGTCATTCAATTTTAACAAGTCTTGAAAATTGTTAATTCTTAGTCCAAGGTGGACAAAATACGAACAAGACTTTATACTAAAAGAAGGGCAATCAAAAAGAACAAAAACGGGCTCCAGTTGATACACAACTTCTTCCGATGCTTGTGTTGGGCTAGATTTAAATGAGGAGGACGAACTCGAGCTAGAAGAAATTGTCCGACCAATGGGTAGGGACAAATCAAAACGGAAGGGGAAGAGGACTTCTTCCAATGCATCAGATTTAAGCATGGATGCAGACAAAATGCGAAAAATGGCAGCGACATTTGGTCAATAAAATCTGAATTTTACTAAATGTTTGGCATTTGACAAAGAAAAAGAAGCGAAAAAAGAAGGAGCATGAGGAAATGCAAGAAATGGACGATATGAAGTTCTTGATGAAAAACACCTATCATTTTTCGAGACTGGCCATCGAGCTAATTTTGAAGAAGGAGAGTATCATGAAAAAAGTTTTTTTTGTAGATCGTTTCGTTTTTTTAAATCTAGTTTGTGCTTTTTAGATCTTGGTTGTTTTCTAGGTTTTTTTAATTTAATTTTTACTTTAAATAAGAAAATATTTTAATTTTAATTAATTTTAAGTTTGTCATTAATTTTTTAAGGCATTATATTTATTTTTTGAATTATAAATCTTAAAACTCAATTAATTTTTATTTAAGAACAAACAAAAAATAAAAGATAGCAAAAGTGATCATTTTCTGTTTTTAGTGAATGAAAGACGAGTGAATGAAAAATTGATACAACATTCAGAAAATGAAAGGTGAAAGATAGGTATACCTTCCATTTTAACCATCTATGATTTCATGTTATAACAATGTTTTAAAAAGCGGTTTGAATCGGCCGGTCGAACTGACTGGATTGGAAACCAGGGAAGAGAATTATTCAACTATCATCGGTTTTATGTTTATTTCTAAACCGAAAGGAACCGGTCGGTTTTTACAAAAATTGGTTGAACTGGTTAAATTAAATCGGTCGAACCAGTTAAATTGAATAAAAACACATGAAATTAAAACATTTTGTATAATAAACTTTTGCGGTTTTTTCACATCTATTAAGATTTTTTGAATAAAAACACATAATAAATGTTATAAAGTTTTTGATGTGTTTATATTCATCTAAGACTTTATTTTTTTAATATATATATATATATATATATATATATATATATATGGATTAATGTAAAACTTATGGTTATGTGTTATTTTAATGTATTTAGAGATTTATAATTTATTTTCATGTGTATTTTTAATTTTTAAACTTGTGGACGTTAAATTTTTAATTTATGTATGTATGTATGTGTAGGAAAATACGAAAAAATATGAAAACTATAGAAACCAGTTATTCGACGATTGAACCAGTTAAACCGGAGTCATCATTATGGTTTAACTAAAAAACTAGGGGTTATACAATTTCTATACTAATAAAAGAGTAGTTATGTTACCATGTGTCACCATTTTAAGTTTTGTAATTAATATTATGTCACTTGTCAATCTATTGATTTTCCTTTTAAATTTCAAAATTCAAAATTTAAATTTCTCATTTTAATTACATTAAATTAATAACATTTGAATAAAAAATAAAATAAAATTTATACAAATTATAATAAAATAAAGTTTATACAAATTATAAGATGATATAATTTTACATATTTATTTGAATTAACGGTTCTAATTTTATATATAACTAAAAAAGTATATCTTAATTAATAAGTTATTTAAAATAATTAATTAATAGTTTTTAATTTTTACTTACAAATTTTAATTAATTTTGTAACAGTGGTTTCCACGGGTTATAAACTAATTATAATATAAAAAACTAAAAAAACCCTTTGGAATATATCGTATTTAAAAGTGATTTTATTAAAATTAGGGTAAATTACACAGATGGTCCCCGTGGTTTAGGGTAATCTGCATGTTTGGTTCCTAAAAACTTTTTTTTTAACTCGGATGATCCCTATCAATTGATTTTGTTGCATCGTTGGTCCCTGACCAACTTAAAATGACCAATATACCCTTATCTATTATTTTAATTGTTTTATTTATTATTAACTAATTAAAAAATTGTAAAAGAAAATATTAATAAATGTGGGTCCCACCCACCCTTCATCTGTCTCATGGCATCGACCTCTTCATCTTCACCTCCTTTGCGCCATTTCTTCATCGTAACCATTGCTTCTCCATCTTCGATTCCGGATGACTACCGTCGGCCATCACCGCCACCATTCCACTACTATCTCTCTCTAGTCAACCCAAGTCCCCAACCATCACCGGGAACCCTTATCCACTAAAATTACTTCCTAACCCTAGATCTACCCCTACACCCAATCATCTCTTTCAACCTGCTTCCACATCCTCTCTAGCATTCAATAACCACCAGAAACAATATGGGTTTGACTATGAACTAGCAGGTTTTGAAAACAATGCTTTGGTTTTGCTAGTCATTAATCTTGATTGCTTCATATGAATAATGCTTTAGATTTTTTTCCAATCTTGAATGTTCTGATAGGGACAGAGACCATGGTGAAACTTGATGGCGACGAGAGGGGTAAGGGAAGTGAGTTCCATCACACACCCGCTGACCCGCAAGCCCATCGATGAATCTGGTTTTCCGTTTCAATGGTGGATTTTGATTTCACAACACCGACCTTCAACCTCAGTGAGCTACTTGGAGCGGTTATCTATATTTTCTAGCTGGAGAAGATGATTGTGCTTCATAGTGTTCTAGCGATCTCGTCGATTTGTGTTTGATGATTGTGTTTTGTGGGTTCTGTTCCAAACTCCCACCGCCAGAGCAAATAAATCAAATAATGGAGACTTTTTATTTCCTTTACCAAAATTTGATTTTGATTTATATTGTGAGGATTGAATGTCAGATATAATGTTTGTAATGATTTGAGTTTTAGGTTTCAATTTGTATGATTTTATGGTTTGTGGTTTCTAGGGCAAGAAATGGGAGGGGTTATGCAGGTTTTTGGGAGGGGATGCGAGGGAGGAGGAAGAAGATATGTGTGGTGGTGACCGGTGATGCAGGTGCCGGTGATGTTGGTGGTGGGCGATAGTGGATGAGGAGAGGTGATGTAGGTGGGGTGGGGGTTAAGTCACAAGCGTGGGTTTCATTTTAACTTATTTTATTGTTTATTAATATATTTTTATTTAACTCATATTTTAAAAAGGTTAAAAATTTTAGTAAGGGTAAATTAGTCTTTTTATAACGGATAGAGACCAAACTTGCAACAAAAATATAAAGTAGGGATGTTCCGAGTTAAAAAAAATTGTTAGGGACAAAACACGCAAATTACCTTAAATCATAGGGATCATTCATGTAATTTACCTTTAAAATTATTATTTTTAACGAAATGGTGTCAATAACTTTAGATATTTTGTAGTTTTGTTCAAATGTGGTTGGATATTTTTCTAAATTAATATTTTATTTATTTTTTTGTTGGAACGTGGTTATATTATTTTCTCATAAATGTTGTAATTTTGTTTTTGAAGTGAACAAATCAATTGGAAAATGTAACAAAAAAAAAATCAATAATATGTACGAATAAAAAAATATGTGATCCTTTTAAATCATTATCCCAATAAATAAATAAAAAATATTGTCGCATTTAAAAATAGTTTTAATAAAATTATAGTTTTTAACGAACTTTATGGCTGGGGTCGATAACTTTAGTTCTTTTGTAGTTTTGTTCAAATATGGTTATATATTTTTAGTAAATTACATGATTCGTCCCTGGTCTATATGTTAAATTGCGTGTTCAATTTCTATTTTTATAAATTAATTTGGATAATCCATGTATTATTTTTTTTTTCACTCAGGTCATCCCTATGGACATAAAATGATTATTTTGGCATTAATAATTTCTTTTTAAAAATTTATTTTATTAAATTATAATTTTGAGATTATATATATATATATACCCAAGAACACCCTAACCCCTTTCCTGATTTCCTTCTGCCCATTCGTTTCGCTCTTTTTCATTCGCCTCCATCCCCGTTTAAAACCCTAGATCCACCTGCATATCCGTTTGAAATACGAGAATCTGAGGTACAGAGAGGTGTGGGCAACGATGATTCGTTGATGGCGAACACTAGATGGTTCAACGATAACGACACATTTCGAAGCCATGGTCATCTTCTTTGAGTTTGCTTCTCGTTTGGGAGTTGACGTCATGTCCATGATTGCTCTACATTTCGAAGCAAACCACCTGAAAGTTAAACCTAACCCTTTCTTTCTCAATTCTAGTTCACTAGAGATCAAGATTAGAGAATTTCCTATCTTAATTTGGGCTTTATTTATCTTATATTCATTTTATGTCTCACAAATAATTAACCGTGTAAATTTAAACTAGAAGGAATGAAACCTACAACTTTTAACAAAATTAATTTTTAACCGTGTAAAGTAGAAGTATCGTCCAAGTTAATTTTTGAAAATAATGATCGAACCCAAGACTTAACATTTGGCTCAGGGACTAATCATGTAATTTTGTTGGAACGTAGTTTTGTTTTTGAAGTGAACAAATCAAAACCGGTATTTTCTGCACCGTGTATCTGATTTTTCTGACTATTCTCACAAGATTTCCATGGCGGATGCGAGCTCTGTGAATCCCCAAAATGGGTTTTGTTCAAAGACAAAGGTCTTTCACAGCCTCCGGTCTCCGGCACCTCTGCCTCCTCTTTCACAGCCCCTCTCCATCACCGACTACGCCATCTCCTTCCTTCGATCGGATCCCGCATTTTCGCCCTCCACAACTGATTTCCTAATCGACTCTGCCACCGGCCACCGTCTCTCCTACACTGACTTCATCCGTCAATTCCAGTCCTCTCCGCCGCGCTCGTAAATAAATTTCCTACCCTTGCCAAAAACCAAGTCGCCTTGATCTTATCTCCAACCTCCATCCACATTCCTGTCCTCTATTTCTCTCTTCTATCCATTGGCGTCACCGTCTCCCCCGTTAATCCGCTTTCCACCAAATCGGAGCTAACCGACCTTGTTGGACTCAGTAACCCTGTAATCGCCTTCGCCACATCGTCCGTCGCTTCTAAACTCCCGTCCTCATTCCCTCTAGGCACAATCATCATCGATTCTCCTCAGTTCCTTTCCATGTTACGAAATCCTCACTCTAATTTCAGTTCTCAACTAGTAAAGCAGTCCGATACGGCGGGGATACTTTACTCATCCGGCACAACCGGACGAATCAAGGGGGTCGAGTTAACTCACAGGAATTTCATCGCCATAACATCCGCCGCACAAAATAACAGATTCATGAAAGACGGGAATGCCCCTTATGAACACCCGGTGTCGTTGTTTCCCTTGCCTCTATTTCACGTTTTCGGATTCTTTATGCTGATCAGGGCGGCATCGGTTGGCGAGACGCTGGTTCTCATGGAGAGATTTGATTTCGAGAACATGTTGAAGGCGGTGGAGAAATATAAGGTCACGTACATGCCTGTCTCACCACCGCTTGTGGTGGCAATGGCGAAATCCGACCTTGTTCCCAAATACGACCTCAGCTCACTTCTGTTGATCGGGTGCGGTGGCGCTCCGCTCGGAAAAGAAGTCGCGAAAAGCTTCTCGGCGAGGTTTCCCAATGTCGATGTTGTCCAGGTATTGCCGGTCACGCGCCTTTGTTGCGCGTGCTGCTATTGATTCCTTATCATTTATTAATGTCGCTGTCATCATAAAAAAATAAGTCTTTTGTTTGAGCTTCTGTGGCATAAGGCGTCGGCTCGATTATTTATAACCTTAATCGTAGATAATTTGTATTCTGTGTTTCGGTAGATTGATTTTGATTTGCATATGAACAGGTTAAATCTACAGGATACCAACTTTTAGAAAAATCTTAAATTTAAAAGTCTCATTTTTTAAGAATTTTTAAATACTAAAAGTTAAGAAACTTTATTTTGGCTTTGCTGTCAGGAGGGTAGTTTGGGTATTTTATATATAACTGAACTTATTTCCAAGTTATATGCCCGATTCAATTTTACTTAATGAAAAGAGTAAATGGATGTTTAAATTACACAAATAAAAGCTACTGGCTACCAAACATACTCAAAATAACCATTAGGAACTTACTTAAAATAGTAAAGTTGCTCTAGTTTGGTGTATTAAACCATTTTTATTTTTTTATTTTTTTGTAATTTACCATGCATAATGGTTTGTTTGTTAGAAAACTACAAGTAGATGGTTAGGAACTAACTTTTTGAACAGAACACACAAAAATGATCTTTTTTAATATAATAATGTGACAAAAGAAATATTTCAAAGTTTGGCTTTTGAGTATTTAAGTGTTTAAGTATTTGTAAATCTAACCACGTGAATGTTTGAAGACTGACAAGTAATTTGACTTTATGTTGAGTTTGATTTTGAAAAACTGACTGTGTTCTGATATGTAGCCATATAACAAAACAACCTTTTATGGAACCAATTATTTATTATACGAGTCCAAATTTAGTAGAACATATCGACATACAATGTGAAAGTTTGGAATAAATTTCAAAAAAAAAAAAAAAGCTTACCTACCGAAAGGGATATATCATTTCTAAAGAAATAAAATTCATGTTTTAAGTTTGGTCCATTTGGGGAACATAGGCCCATAACTTAATAATGGTGGATATAAAAGATGAGAGGATTTTCGAAACAATTAAAAGGAAAAAAAAATACAAATTCTAATAATTCACTACATAATATTCTATTTTAAGCAAAATACGCCTAAGCTTACCATAAGAATCTTCGTCATTTAAAATAATATGTGCATTTATTTATCTTGAATAAATTGAAGAAGTTGGTTTTTATAAAGTGTGGTGAACGTGCATGAAGGGATACGGTATGACCGAGACTGGGGGAGGGGTTACAGGAATGAACGGTCCAGATGAGTGTGAACATCATGGATCTGCGGGTCGATTATCTCCAAATGTAGAGGCTAAGATTGTTGATCCTGAAACGGGTGAGGCTTTATCTCCTATGCAACAAGGTGAATTGTGGCTACGTGGGCCCATGGTTATGAAAGGTAAATCCAAACAAACCTTTAAGCCATAAATGTGTCATTAAAACGTAATCTTCTCATTTTATATATATATATATATATATATATATATATATATATATATATATATATATATATATATATATATATATATATTTTAACGAGAGGAATGAAATAGGTTATGTTAGAAATAAAGAAGCAAGTGCTGCAACTTTGGATTCAGAAGGGTGGTTAAAGACGGGTGACCTTTGTTACTTTGATTCAGATGGTTTCCTTTATATTGTTGATCGATTAAAAGAATTAATTAAATATAAGGCTTATCAGGTAATCTCTTGCTTCAAAATCCAAATACATATATATTATTTTTTATACTTTTATTTATGATGATAATAATTAATTAATGGAAAAAAATAAAAAAATTGCAGGTTGCACCAGCTGAATTGGAGAGATACCTTCAAGCAATTCCAGAAGTTGCAGATGCAGCTGTAATTCCGTAAGTAGTAAATTGCAAAAATATTCACATTGATTTGTTTATTATAGCATCCTCCTGCTTCTATGTTTTCCTATTACAAACTTTTTTTTTTTTTTTTTGAAAAATTAGATATCCAGATGAAGATGCTGGAGAGATTCCCATGGCATATATAGTGAGAAGACCTGGAAGCAAAATAAATGAAGCTCAAATCATGGAGATAATTGCAAAACAGGTATGTTTAATGTTTTACTTTTTTAATGCAGAAGTTTTGCAATAAAATATTAAACAGGCTTTATATTTGTTTTGAATTTTGATGTTTTCAGGTGTCGCCATACAAAAAGATTAGAAAAGTTGCATTTATAAACACAATTCCAAAAACGCCAGCTGGAAAGATATTGAGAAGGGAATTGGTTAAGCATGCTCTATCAAGAGCTTCATCTAAACTATGATAAACCAATTTTTTTTTTTTTTTTCATGGAAACACAAATGGGACAGGTTTAAATTTTAATTACAGTTTGTTTATGAGTGGGGGTATATATATACCTAAAGGTTAGGTTGCAATTTACTGCAAGAAGCGATTTTTTTTATGGTAAGTTTTTACTAACATATTAAGACCTATATCAGTTTACTTTTTAAATTGGGGTTGTAATCAAACCACAATGATCAGGTCGACCACATTGATCTTAACGTGGAATTTAAAATTTAAAATACCCAATAAAGACTTTCTTTAAACTGTACTAGTTATCAGTTTATATATATATATATATATATATATATAT